TTTTTGTCCTTCGCCTTTTCTTTATCATTCTACTTCTTTCCTTCCTTCTGTTTTTCTTTGTCTCATTTTTGTCCTTCACCTTTCTTTTATCATTCTATTTCTTTTCTTTCTTCTTTTTTATCTCACTTTTGTCTTTCGCCTTTCTTTCATCATTTTCTTTCTTCTTCTTCTGTTTTTTTTTGTCTCATTCTTTGTCTTTCGTCTTTCCTTTATCATTCTCTTTCTTTTCTTTCTTCTTTTTTTTATTTGTCTCATTCTTTGTCCTTTGCCTAACATTTCTCATTCTCACCTTCTTTTTCTTTTTTTTGCTTCTTTTTTCTTTCTTTTTTGTCTCATTCTTTGTCCTTCGCTTTTCCTTAATCATTCTATCGCTTTTTTTCTTTTTTTTTGTCTCATTCTTTGTCCATCGCCCTTCGTTTATCATTCTCACTTTCTTTTCTTTGTTTTCCTTCTATTTCTTTTCTTTTTTGTCTCATTCATTGTCCTTCTCCTTTCCTCTATCATTCTTACTTTCTTCTTATTTTTTCTTCTTTTTTTTTGTCTCATTGTTCATCCTTTGCTTTTCCTTCATCTTTCTTTTTTGCCTCATTCTCTATCCTTCGCTTTTCCTCTATCATTCTTCTTTTCTTTTCTTTTTCTTCTTTTTTCGTCTTATTCTCTGTCCTTCGCTTTTCTCTTATCCTTTTCCTCACTCTCTGCCCTTCGCTCTTCATTTCTTTCTCTCACTTCTGTATTCATTTACATTTATTTATTTTTTTTGCTCACTCTCTGTCCTTCGCTCTTCATTTCTCTCTCTCACTTTTTTTGCCTCATTCTCTGTCCTTCGCTTTTCCTTTATCCTTTTATTAAATTTCTTCATCTTTTGCCCTTTTATCTTGGTTTGATTTCTGTCATATTCTTTCTTTGTTTCTATCTCTTCCTCTGTCTTTCTCTTAGTCTTACTATTACTCTTTCCCTTATCTTCCCCTCCCTCTTCTCCTTCTCCTTCTCCCTTCTCTCTCTTCCTCTTCCCCTTCCCCTCCACCTCTTTCCTCTTCCTCTTCCTTCCCTCTTTCTTCTTCCCCTCCTTCCCTTTCTTCCTCTTTCTTCTTCCCCTCCTTCCCTTTCCTTCTCTCTTCCCTTCCTCTCCACCACTTTTCCTCTTCTCTCCTTCCTTTCTCCTCTTCCCCTTCCCCTCCACCCCTTTCCTCTTCCTCTCTTCCCTTCCTTCTCTCTTTTCCCTTTTCTTCCCTCAGACAACATACCCTCTCGTACCCCTATCTCTCCCAGCTAGAATATCAGCTTGATCACTATCTCTCTAAACCGGGTATGGCTGCGAGAAAGTTTGCTTGCGAGAGTACCCCTGCTTTCTTGTGTCCTGCTCCTGCTTTTCTCCTTGTCTGTTTGTTTGTGTGTGTTCAGGTCATTGTTAGTTTGTATCTGTTGTTTGTAGGTTGTTTGGTAATGCGTTTGTTTGTGTGTGTTGTTTTGTTTGGTGTTGTGTGTGTGTGTGTGTGTTTGTGTGTGTGTGTGTGGTGTGTTTGTGTGTGTGTGTGTGTGTGTGTTTGTGTGTGTGTGTGTGTGTTTGGATTTGTGTGTGTTTGTGCTGTGTGTGTGTGTATGCGTGTATGCGTGTGGTTCGTGTGCGTGTTGTGTACGTGTTTGTGTGCGTGCGTGCATGCGTATACGTGCGTGCGCTCGTCTACTTCTCGTGTGCAGGTGCATGCATATGTCATTACGCGAGACACCCTCCCCGCAGCCTTCACAAAACCCCAAGCCCGCCGTCCCTCCGCAAACAACAAAGCAAGCAAAAGCAAGAGCCACTTAAATGCTCGTTCAATCCTCGGATGAATCCAATAAGTGAGATAAAGACGATCATCCGCAATTGATTAAGGTGTAACGAGACCTGATATCGACGCACCTGCGGGATTGAGATGGACAGGGGCGGGGGGAGGGGGGGAGGGGAGGGTTGGAGAGTGGGGGAAGGGGAGGGGAGGGTTGAAGAGTGGGGAGGGGAGGGGGGGGGAGAGTGGGGAGGTGGTGGGAAAGGGAGAGGGGAGGGAGGGGCGAGAGGGGTTGGTGGGGGTGGAGGAGATGGGTGATGGAGAGGGATGATGGGCTGAAAGAGAGGGGAGAAAGAAGGGAGAGAGGGAGTAGGCGGTGAGAGAGAGAGAGAGAGAGAGAGAGAGAGAGAGAGAGAGAGAGAGAGAGAGAGAGAGAGAGAGAGAGAGAGAGAGAGAGAGAGAGAGAGAGAGAGAGAGTGACGGAGACAGAGCAAGAAAGAAAGAAAGAATAGGAGAGAGAGAAAGATAAACGAAGAACGCACACACAGATGGAGAAGTAATCACACTTGTATTTAAAATCATCATATTTCCACTAACCTTCTCAAAGCATTACTTGAACACATCATATTTTTGACATTATGACTCGTCAGAAAATACTTAAATAAATAAACCGAAAAAGATAAGAAAATAAAAATTAAGCAAACGGATAAACAGGTGATTCATTTCAAATTAATATAGTATGTGGTATCAAATCAAAGCAGAGAAACAAATAAGTAAATGAACAGAATAATAATCGTGCTTAATATACGAGAGAGAGAGAGAGAGAGAGAGAGAGAGAGAGAGAGAGAGAAGAGAGAGAGAGAGAGAGAGAGAGAGAGAGAGAGAGAGAGAGAGAGAGAGAGAGAGAGAGAGAGAGAGAGAGAGAGAGAGGAGAGAGAGAGAGAGAGAAGAGAGAGAGAGAGAGAGTTTCGGAGTAAGAGACAGAATAGAAAAAGAGATAGAGAGAGAGTTTGGGAATAAGAGACAGATTAAGGGAAAAAAAGAAAGATTAGATAGATAAACAGAGAGAAAGACCACCCACTTTCTCCTTTAAGTATGGGAAGTCGTCCTCGTCCTCGTCCTTGTTCCCGACCGGTTGGTTCCTGTTCCAACCGGTTACGAGAGCTCCCTTTCACTCCCCTTCTTTTGAGAAAAAATCAATTTCTCCTTAAAGACGCTTTTCGGGAGTTTCACTTCGGGATGGGGAAAGCCCTCGGGATATGTTGTCTTTCTCCTTTTTTGTATCTATTTACCTAAATCAACTATCTTTTCTTTGTTTATTTATCT